CTTGACATACATACATACATACATACATACATACATACATACATAAATGGTAAGGCTACCATCTGATCCACTAGAGTTTAATTTAACTGTACCTTGAAGCAAGACTGACATGTAATAAGATGATAAACCAGCAGTTATATGATATCTGTAGGAGAATCAACAAGGATCATCAGATTCAAAGAATATCAATGTTGCAAGATTGCCATTTTTTTTTCAGCATAATTTCTATATTAACTGAGCAGATTTCTTTAGACCAGATGAGCCCAAGAAGCTTGGAAAAATCCAAATATGCATGGAATTCTCTTACATCAGGAGTGTGGGTGGGGGATTATTATCCATTTCATTCTACAAGGGTCACTGCAGTCAACCTGATCAAAGGAGGGGTATTGGAATTGCCTCTCTTTTTTCATTTGGGAATTGTAGTTGTATTTTGGTTCTTGTCAGCAGTGCAATGGTGAGGGGGTATAGTCTTTGAAGACCATTCAGCCTCCCAGGTTGTCCTTCTCTACTTATTAAACAAACAAGGAAGGAAGGAAGGAAGTTGTCCTATTAGCTGATACCTGGCAGGACCTTTCCAAGGTAGCCCAGCATTCTCAGCCCTGACATTGCTGATATTCTGAAAGCTGTAGTCCTGACTCCTTGGGAGGTTATCAGGTTGGGGAAGATGGCTTTCAGGTTTCAAGTGTAGGACCTTCACAGCTTTGACACCTTTTCTAAGAAATTAACTTCAGACATATAAGTCTCTAGTTGTACTGCAGCAGTATTTGCATGTTATTTAACCTTTGTGGTCAAGATCATTAGTCATAAAACCAACCCCAGATCTATACTCTTGCTACACAAAATGACTATGGGATGAAAATCCTTTCTTGCCTTCCTAAATTTGTGTTTAGCTGTTTTTAATCTTTTGTAGCACTATCCTTTATATGTTCACTTAAAAATAAGTTCCATTAAGTGCAGCGGGACTTAATCCTAGGTAAGTGGGTATAGGTTGCAACCTAATACTTGCAGTAGAAATTTATACATGCTTGCTCAAGAGTAAAGTCTCTTATATTCACGCAATTGTGCATTGAACTGTGGTCCTATTAGAAACACCTATTGGTTTCCTTTGAGGGAGACCTTCAAGAACATATGCTCTCATCCTCTCCAATTTAATTAATTAGGTTATGGAGCTAGGACACCCACGGTGTTTGTGACTTCCACATTTGAGAAAAGAAAATGGTCCAGATCTCAGTAGATCTTAAATATCATGAATGTTTAACATCCTCATGCAAGCTCTTGTGATACACTGAAATCATATGCAATTTTGGTGTTCTCAAGAGATCACACAAGATTTTGGGGTTGAGTTTTATTACTTAAGAGTTGGGCAATTTTCTAAGAAAATAGTGGAGGTTGGGGGCTGCAAATGTTTTCAACTCCTGATTTAGATCCTTCTTTTCCTCCAAGATATGCGAGGCAGCATTTATCCATACAAGCTGCTTGCCTGTGAAAGAGAGATGGGGAGCCATCATTCACTGCATTTTCCTGTGCAAAAGGAAGATGCAATAGATAAGACTTCTGTGCAAGAGTGGAACTTCCCTTCCATAAAGCCATAGTTTTAATATAAAGCTCATTTGGTTTTGAATGGAGGAAGACTACATTGATTTTCCTGTCTAGTGTAGCTGCCACACTGCTTTGATGATGGAGTATGTTTTCATTTTGTATGGGCCCCTAGGTGCTCAGCTTTAGTATCCTTATTTTCAGTATGTTTATCTAAATTACTGTTTTTGATTGTTGGTTTGTATTCTCCTATGCCTGTGTTTTGGTTTTATTATTTTCTATTTGTGTGCATAGCTTTATTCAGACTTTTTTTTTTCACTGCCCTGGAGTCCTCTGGATAGAGTGTAAGAAATATTTTTAATTACTCCAGTGCAAACCATTTATAGCCATGACCATGCATACAGATGGATTGGATGTCTAGGTAATTTCATCTTGGCGGTGTCTATATAGGGTTCATTTGTTCAGATCAGATCCAATCACAACACATTTGATACCACTATCTTTTTAATCAGCTTTTTTACCATAGGAAGTCTGGGAAGTCTGATTTCTGGGAAGTCTGACAGTAAAAATCCAATAATATAACGGGAAACAGGTTGGAGAAGGTAGGTCCAGCCATATAATGAGATAGTCACTTGGAACTTCCTGCCTTGTGCTGGAATGTTGTCCTCTAATTTCCAAGATATTTCAGGAAAATCACAATTACTGCCTAGGACGAATGGACAGTAACACTTTGCTACTATCTCAGCAAAGTATTAAAGGTGATACATTTAATGTATCACCTTTAATACTTTCTGAAATATGTCAAAATTTCCAGTTATCTGCTTCATTACCTGGGGCGTCTTTGTCTTATGACGTGGCTGATATTTACAAGTGGTTGGATCCCACTTTGCTCTAAAAAAATTCAAAATCAAGGAAATATGAGGCATGGGATTATGACATGCTTTTCCATCTTTCTAATCTCAAGGAAGAGACATGACAGGTCTTCATGCCATCTATATGATTCACTTGATTGATTGATTGACTGATTTGATTTGATTTGATTTCTATAGCCGCCCATCTCAACAAGTGACTCTGGGTGGCAATTTCCTGTTTGAAATTTCACCAATCTGGTGTATTGTACTGCTACCAATTCATATTGTTTTCTTGGTAGCAGTACAGAAATGGTTTTCAGCCACCCAGTCTATCAGATTTTCTAGTGATCGCTCATTCACTACATTTGGCCCTGCCTAGCTTTTTGAGATTAGCCAAAGTCCACATATATTTCATTTTTAATTATATTTGTATTAAACATTTTTGAGAAAGGAAAAAAGAAAAGAAGATAAACAAGAAAAAGAAAAAAGAGGCAAGAAAGGACAGTTAAAGACTAAATGAATAAACAGGGAATGTACAAGTATCACAGAATTAGGTAAGAATGTTCAATATTTCATAAGTTTTAAATAAAGGAATATATTGCATTGTAAAAACTGCAGATCATTATTAAAATCTAAGCAATATATAAATATCAGTAACAATAATCAGCACTATATAAATCATACAATAGATTAAAAATCACAGAATTTCCATCCAAACAGCTGAAGTACTATCCTCATTTAACAGATCACTGAAGATACAAGAATTGTAGTATTTTATGTTAAGAGAAACCCAACTTTCACTTGTGGTACTAGTCCATATATAGAATTATAATACCAAAATGGTTCAGATGTTTCAACCTGCTATGAAGCACAATAATAGTAAAAATCAAGTTGATTCTTAAGGCCAATTGCTAAATGATGGTTTGCAAGCAGTCCTGAATAAAACCTAGCAACAAAACAACAGGGAGGAAAAAAAACCCTATTAGTGTTTTCTCAATATTCAGTTTAGTCTCCAAACAGCCCAAGAAGAGAAATGCTTAAAATCTATTGTTAAACCATTGATGTCATGAGTTCTTTTGTCCTGAAATGCTGTTACTGACAACCAGTGCAATATATTAAATATTAAATAAAATATGTAATATTTAATGCACATTAAATAATTAATTGTAAATTCTAAAATCAATGTTAAAACAGTTATCATTGAACAAATAATACTATCAAACAGGTGCACCTCTTGCTTATTCTTTCCATAATAATATCTTAATATTTTCATTTATATATATATAAAACATCTTGCAATTTATAGGTGTACTTTAAGGGAGAAACCAAAATCCCACCATTCATCCAAAGGAATTCTTCTAGCTCAAGGATGCATGAAAAATAGATTAAAATCTACTGTAGATCTGTGGGTAAATCTGAAATAGTTTATCACGGATTTTCAACTTTCAATTGCTTAACAAGAGTAGCCACAAATTGTTTCTTCACATCCCCAGATTATGGTCAAATGAAGAAAGTGAATTGTAACCAGCAATAGATTATTGTACACAAGGACTATTCAGTTTTGATCCTCAAAACATATTCCTGGACTCAAGCATCTAATAAAAATACGTCTTTTACATCAGTGTAGATGTTCCTAGATCTTGAGTAAAACAAACAACAGTAAAACAAACAAACAAACAACACACATATCCAAAATATACCCAGACTGCAGTGCTTTTCTTCCAAGGAAGAAACTCTCATACTAGCACAGAAGCAGGGTTCAAGAATAGATTAAGCGGAAAGTCGGCAACTCCACATCAGAACAGAAATAACATTAAAGTAAGCTAGGTGCTTGTTGAGAGCCAATTCGGTGCAGTGGTTAAGGCCCCAGGCTAGAAACCAGGAGACTGTGAGTTCTAGTCCTGCCTTAGGCACAAAGGCAGCTGGGTGACCTTGGACCAGTCATTCTCTCAACTCTAGGAAGAAGAAGGCAATGGCAAACCACTTCTGAAAACTGCAAGAGACTTGTCCAGGCAGTCGCCAGGGGTCAACAATGACTTGAAGGCACTAAAAAAAAAAAGTTCTAGTATTTGGATGAGCAATGCATTAACCATGATACACTCATACTTCTGAAACAGCTGAAGGTGGGACCCAAACTATATGGAAGAAACCTATATTTACCTTTTGTTTCAAAGCTGACAAGAATATGGCCACTATTAACTTTTCCCCAAGATGTGATATGTTTCAAAAACCATAAAAAACAAACATAATCGCAAATCTAAATGGCGTTCTCATGAAGGTTATGTCTGTGGAGAAGTTGAGTGATGTCGACAAGAAGGCTTGTTGCACAGTAGAAACTGAAGAAGGTGATAAGCTGTTAGAGATAGCTTCTGCCTTTTTTATATCTCTTGCTTGCATAAAGGTTAGCAATAGAAATAACATTTACTTATGCTAGTTGTGGTATAAATAGGACTGGAGAATGCTTGTGATCCTCATACATCTAGTTTTGTTGGGATCTTTCTTGTTCTTTAGGTGAGGACAAGGTTGGTCACAAGGACAAAGTGAAACAGGAGCTTCCATTTTCCCCTCATCCCACAGACGGAGTTTCTGCTCTTTCTTTGATTCTTCCTGGCCATGGATAGATCCACGCAAGAGCTCTTCCTCAACTTTATGATAGTACTGATAACAGTACTCCTTATGTGGATTCTGGTGAAGTCTTATCAAGACTGAAAGACTATCTCATAGTCCTGGAAACATGGAAAGATCTGTCTCTGGTGAAGGATGAGAATGCTATTCCTCAGAAGTGCTTCTCTATGTGCTCCAAGTTTTGATATAGAAAAAATGTAATGCATTTTTAAAAAAAATTAAAATACCTCATTTATATTTATCTAATAATTCAAATGATCTAAGAAGGTGTAAATTAATTTCTCTTCAAAGCATGGCATAAACTCTCTTTTCCCTGATTTTTTTTGTAAATGATGGATATATCTCATATAGAATCATGGTAGTAGCTACAAACATGAAAATTCATTAACACATCAGCTTATTGTGGCTTAGACACTCATAAAGTCTTCATTGTTTCAGTTTTATGTAACCAATTAGTGGAAATGTGCTGATCTACCGTTGTTATCATCTGAATAAATAATGTTTGATGCACTTCCTGTTCTTTTCAATTGTCTTCTTTATGTTACGTTTGTAAGCAAGCCTTTTCTTACAGGATAACAGGATGTTATTGTATTGCAAGAACACTAAACTCAGATCTTTATATATTGTTGTATGAATTCTAATTCAGTAGTATATAAAAGCAGGAATTGGCCAAAACGCCAATTTCACCAGAACAGCTAGATCAGGAAGGGATCTAGACACAGAGTTTTGGTAGGCCAGCAGGTTGAAACATGAATCTTATGTATGAGGCAACTGTCACACTTATGAGAAATAATAGTCACCAGTGCATGGGAGAGTGAATTTGTTGATTGGTTTTATGTATGTATGTATGTATGTATGTATGTATGTATATATAGAGGAGCTGGTCCTGCCATTTATTATATTATAGACTTGGTTTGGGTGTGGTTTCTTCCTTGATGTTTCTTCCTTATTTGGAACTGTCCCTCCCCTAGTCAAGGAACTATCAAGGAAGAACACACCCCCCCCCCATTAAGATTGGCAGGGCAAGCTTCTATATATAAACAGCAAACTCCACTCTTCCATGCACTGATGATGTCATTTAGCCTTATAATAAAATGCTTGCAGGAAAACAACCAAGCTCAGGGAATATCATAAACCCAGCTGTTCAATCTTGAGCTACATATATTTTCTACTATATTTGAAATAATACTCATATATTATTATTTTAGCCCTCAGAGCTCCCCAAAGCCAAATAAATGTTTTGTAGGATTAGAAGGTTTAAGGTTTACAATACAATTTATCCCTTAATAATTCTGAAAAAATCTCAAAAATTGCAGTCCTGGTCTAGCTCACTTTTGGAGTATAGACTTTGACATGTCACACAAATTTCCCTGCAGCCCTAAGCCAATTAACTTGGTCAACCCTGATTTGCATCACATAAAATGAAGTAGTAATAAAAGCTTAGTGCAGACTTTCCCAACCCAGTGTCTTCCAAATGTATTGGGACTGCAACTCCCGGAATCTGAAACAAGCATAAGATATTCCGAAGTACCTCATAGCAATTGAGGAATTTGATTTTAAATTGTTTTTGGAGTTGTCCCTCTGTAGAACTCAGGAAATGTATATCTCAGCCAGGATAAGGAAAGTCTAGCAATGCCAATTGGACAATATTATACTGCCAATATTATACTGGAAATAGGAAGTTATTTAATGTACCCTTTGTGCTTCTGGTCCATATGGTGAATTATTATAGTGCTCCAGAAATTCAGCTAGAGAGAGGCCATTCTCATCAACTGTTACCTGCCCCATGGTATTTAGAGATGCCAGGGATTGAACTTGGGGTCTTCTGGACACAAAGCAGGTACTCTGCTACTGCCCTGCCTACTGAAAGAAAGAAAGTTGCCTTACATGAGGTCACACAATTTAATCAACTAGGCAGGTACTATCTACTGTAATTGTCAGCAGCTTTAGAAAGTAACACACACACACAGAGGTCTTTCCATTGTCTACTACCTGGACTGAATGCCTGGAGGTACCATGAATCCAGGGCCTTTCATCATGCATATTCCCTACCAGTGATTCCCCCCAAAACCTAAATACATAAACATAAATACCTTGCCTATGTGGAGTTCCAGGATAGGACCTGGAGAAAGGATCTTACAAAGGCAGAAGAAAGGTAGGAAAGGATATGGTTTAATATGGTGTGTTAAATCCATTTAATATACAATATAGTTTCTTAATTATGCACAGAAATATACTAGAGCAATTCTATACATATCTACACAGTTTTTCCCTTTGGGACTTTACTCCAAAAGTAAATCTCATTACATTCATTGGGACTTTATCCATAGATAAATGGGCATAAGATTAAACTACCTGTAGACTTATTTCCAGACTAGTAACAGTCTGCTCATATCCCCTGTGCTGGAATTCAACTTCTATGACCCTAAATGTAATCTAACTGAAATGTAAAATAAATATGGTGAATACTATTAATTCTCACATACTTCACCATTTTCCTGCTTTTGTCACATTAGATACTCTAGTTTTTAAGTCTTGTGGTGGTGGTGGTGGTGGGGGTCAAGGAGTTTCATCCAAAGCTTTCAGAGCTGCATATGTTCTTGGGGCTGTCCAACTGCAGGTCACTAACTCCACTTCCATGCTGTTTGAGGACCCATTGCGTTAGACTTTCTTGCACCCTCTCAGACATATCTTATTCAAACTGCCAAGCATTAAAGCATGCCATATCTTCCATTCCATCAAGGTAACCTAAGAAGCTGGTTAAAGAAGTTGACTTACGTTAAGAGAGAGATTATACATAGCCTCGACACTTAGTATCTTCAGTCAGAAGAAGCACCAATAGTTTCACTAATTTACACATTTCTGTTCCACTCCATGGCTAGCATTTGACCAATTGAAGCACCATCCAGAGAACAGTTAATAATCTATATTTCTTTAAGTTGTGGTTTTCCTGCCATTGAATACAGAGGCATCCCATTTTTACATACCATGCCTCTCCTGGTATCTTGCTTAAGTATGTGTGTCATCATCTGATATTCTCAGGTCACTCCCCCCTCCAGCTTAAAAATACTTCCCCCTGGGAACCATATGTATTAAAGCAATGCTTTAGAGCTTCAACAGCTGTTGGCCCCATATTTCTCTCCTCCCCTCAAGTGTGCTTGAAAGATGCTTCTCATTGATTCAAAGACCACGTTTAAAGGCAAGCAGAAAATGTGACTCATCTGCTTGACACACATCTCAGAAGGCATGGGAAATCCCATGTGACAGACAGTTGTATGTCACTTGTTTATTAACAAAAAGAGTCACAGGAGACCTTAGGCTTAAACAAAAAACCAAGTGAGAAGCAGAAATGCTATTTTTCCTCTAACTTAATTTTTGTTTTTTGCTGTCTAAAGGAGAAAATACACAGAGCCTTTCAAGAGATACATACTTACTTAGCTATATTTTATCTTTTAAAAGTTCCATTCAGAACAGGAGTGGGCAATTTTTGGTGAGAAGTAAAATAATAGATTCCCTGGAGGTGATCGCAACTGTCCATGTAATTTTCTTGGCAACAATATGGAATGCCTTTTTCTGGGACTTTTTCTTTTACTTCCTACTGGGGGGGGGGGAAAAAGCGACATTGGCCAAACGAGATCATTGGAGTCTATCATTTTACTAGTCCCCATAATTCTTGAAGTTCCAAGATGGTCCCCCATCTAAGTTATAACCAAGAGCTTTGCTGCTTAGCTTCTAAGGTCAGCTAGATGCTACTACCTGAAGATGAGACCATACTTAATATATCTGGGGAAGGCTGCATCATTTCTTATAAAACAATGCCAAGCCTAGTTTAGGCCTTGTACTTTTAAGTAACTCATAGTTTTTGAGTATTTCCCATCTGAAAATTTCCCATTCAGTTTTAACTGCTGTGATTGGAGGAGGTATGGTGGCCACAAAAATTGGGCATGCCAGCTGGTCTGAGTTCTCAAGTTGCCTGTTGTGCCTTAGAATTACTGCAAATTCAGTATTCTAGTGACCAAGCATATGGACATGAAATGGTGACTTTCTCTATACAGCATTGCTTGATAATCCTTAAAGGTAACAAAATCCCACCTCCCAATAAGGAAAAATTGGAAGAACTTTGTAAGGCCTGACTTGGTTTTATCATGAAAGGACAGTGAACAAGAGATGAACTTTGACAATTAATCTCTAGAATGTCTCCCTCGAAGGCTCAGTAAATCATTCCTCACTTTAGCAGCTGTGATGGGTCATCTTCTTTGCCTGAAGCTTAACTTTAGTATGTTTTTCAGAGCCATTCAGCACAGGACAGGCATACAAGCCAGTCGTCTCTTTCCCCACAGCTTCAAAAATTGTTTATCTTCAGGACTTTCGGGCTGCAAAGATCTTCACACAGGCTTATTTTGTCTTCCTGAGCCTCATTTACTCATCCTACTAATCTCTGCTCAGAAATAAGTCACTAAGGGGATCACTTCTAAGTATATATGGCATGCCTTAGCTGGAAAGAGATGGTTAGAGTTGTCACTTGATGATTCAAAGCTGAATGAATGAACAGCTTCTGCAAGAGCATACCATAGTTGAAGTGATCTTGGTGATATGGAAGTTCTTTCTATGGACCTAATTCCTGAACAGTTCATTTCCAGGTTGTTGTAATTGTCAAGGACCTCCTAGGATTCTTGGTTTAGGGAATGCTTCACATCTGGAGAGGCAAGAATTTCAAAGATGGGGTGATGATGTAAATGGTCAGAGTTAGAAATTTCCTTTTTTCACTTTTTTGAGGGGGGGGATTTGTTTTTTAAACCGTGCTAAGTGAATAATTTTCACATGTTTCTTGCAAAAAGGCAAGAAAACAGAATTTGGCTGTGCAAACAGATTTTCAGAATGATTGGGGGAGAGCATGCATGTTTGTGCTAGTAACTTAATATCTTGATGGTTTCCATCCTACTAAGCTGGCTGCCTCTGAGTTCCAAGATCTTTCAGCTTTCAGTTACAAACTTTTTCAGCTCTGCAATGCAGGGCAGGCATTATGTAAGTTAGGTTTCTTCATGCTGTATGAATCAAAAACCAGAAAAATGGTGAGGAAGAGG